ACTAAATACCTCCAAAAATAAACATAAAATGTTTTGAGGTTTCCCTTCATAACATTGTTGGTAAAACAAAATATCTTCTAATCTTTCAATAATTCAGTTGTTTTAAACCATCTCTTAGGCTTCTCTTTCTGGATGGAAATCCTGCAATTCAACTACTTCACTAGGTTAATAATTTCAGTAAGAGTTTGAAAATAATCTATTAGCATGATTCCCAATCCAACAGATCACCAAATCCTGCTACAGAACTGATTCTATTTCAGAAATATTTTCTAAATACTGCTACTTTTCTACAATTCCCTTATCATTATTTTTATATAGACACTGAATATTATTAGTGTTCTTGAACTGCATCAAAACCTTCCTAACTCTTCTCACATCCTTCTAATCCATCTTTTATATGCAAAGTGATTTTCTAAAACATAAATCTGACTATATTATTCCTGTTTTTTGGAATTCAACATCCTGCCATCATTTCTTAAGTGGTTTCCCTGTTCCATTCACACCAGAATTACTTGGGGTAATTAAAAATGAAGCCTTTAAGGACATTCCTTGTAAAAAATCCCCCAAATGTCTTATATGATGCTGCATCCCCAATACATAAAACTCTGACTGATACTCACTTGGAGCTCAATAAATATTTGCTGAATGAATTATGGAATTCTTGAACTGCATTCTGAACCTAAAGAATCAGAATCAGAAAACACAGAAAAATGATTCTATGTTTTTATTAAGCTCCTTCGTGACTTTTATCCATATTAAAGTCTGAGAAGCACTAGTATAAAGGATAATGTTTAAATTATATAGAATGGCTTTATAAGGAAGGCCCTTCACAATCTGCACTCTGGCTCCTTCTCCAAATGCATCTTTTGCCACTTCTCATTTGGTTAGCTGTAGTAAAATACTTAGATTTATCAAAAGCAGTCTCTGAACCTCAGCCCCTTTTTCTGCTTTGCCCCTTCTCCTTGGGTAGATTTATAACTTAAGTGGAAACTCTTCCTTATGGAGCTTTGCCAGACATCTCCATGCCATTCTCTCATCTATGCTCCCACAGCATCCTGCTCTATTTCTGTACTATACTACTATCACACTACTTTAGTTTATTTCCATTTCTACACCATGAGTTCTTCAAAGTTAGTAAATGTCTTATTCTTTTGTATTTACAGAGCCCAGTGTAGTGAGAATAGGCACTTTTTCACATTCAAATGTTTGTTGAATGACAGAATGAAAGAATGAATGAATGATAAAAACTGTGAAGAGGCCAGAGATTACAGGACTTAAGGTATAAATCCAAATCAATGTGCTGGGCTTTTTTAGAAAGTATGTCAGTATGTCAGTAATCAGTATGTCAGTAAATATTAATCTGGAAGTTCTCTGTCCTCCAGCAATGGTTCTCAAAGTGTGGCCTGGGGGATCCCTGGATGTCTTCGAGACTCTTTCAGGGAATCTGTGAAGTCAAAACTGTTTTTCAGTAATACTGAAATCATATCTGTCTTTTTCATTTTCATTCTCCCATGAATGTACAATGGGGTACTAGAGGTTACATGATGTGTGGTATTACAACAGACTGAATGCAGAGATAGGAGACTCTAGCTTTCTTCAATTAAGCCAAATATTAAGAGAGATCTTCAAAATGTAAAACAATGCCATTCTTCTAATTTTTTAAAAAATGTTATTTATGTTAATATGTAATTGGTTTATTGTTGTTATTTTAAAATGAATTACACTGGGCACAGTGGTGTAAGCCTATAATTCCAGCTACTTGGGAGGCTGACACGAGAGGATAGCTTGAGCACTGCAGTTCAAGACCAGCCTGGACAACAGAGAGACACCCTATCTAAAAAAAACCAAATTAATAAATATTTTTTAAAATTTCTTGGTTTTAATTTCGAATATGGTAACTATTAATAGATACAAAATTTAGAAAGCTCTTTAAGGTCCTTAATTTTTACAAGTGTAAAGCAGACCTCACATCAAAAAGTTTGGGACCCACTGCTCTATTCTTTTTACAAACTGGCCAAATTGTACAAATTGATTTAAAGCAGTTACTCATCCAAAATTCAGGCAAATGGAAATTGCTACTTAAGAAGGTCTTCAACTCAGAGTTTTTTTTGAGACATTGTCTTGCTCTGTACCCTAGGCTGACGTGCAGTGGTGAGATCTTAGCTCATTGCAGCTTTGAACTCCTGTGCTCAAGTTATCCTCCTGCCTCAGCCTCCTGAGTAGCTAGGACTAAAGGCACGTGCCACCATGCACAGCTAATTTTTAAAATTTACTTTGTAGAGAGGGGTCTTTCTATTTTGCCTGGGCTGGTCTTGAAATCCAGGTCTCAAGTGATCCTCCCTCCCACCTTAGCCTCCCAAAGTGCTGAGATTACAGGCATGAGCGACTGCACCCAGCCTGAAAATTTAGGTTTTTTTCCCCAAAATGGCCACTGATCCAAAATTCTTTGAGCATGCATGTTAATATACTACCCAGCTTCAAAGCCTGTCAAAATGTCCCACTTCTCCCATGAAGTTTTTCCTGAATTTTTTTACAACTGCATATGCTATTAGCCAGTTTGATCTATATAGCATTTTTTTTACTTCTTTTATGGTTTTATATTTTAATTATTTGTATACTTGTTTGTCCTTCTTTAGAGCATAAAGTCCATGAAGGCACAGTGGCATGATGTGGAAAGAGAATATGCTTTGGGGTCTAACATACCTGTATTTGAATTCCAGCTTTATGTTACGAACTCTGAGGCCCTAGACAAGTTTCTTAAATTTTTAGGGCTCTAGTTGCCACGTTTTAGTGGGGATAACAATAACTGCCCTGCCATCATCCCCATTGAATAGAAAGAGATTAGTACAGTTCCTAGTATAACGTGGATACGCAATAAATGGTAGCTATTACTAATAAAAATCTGTAAATCTTGTGTTTCCAATCATATTACCTTCAGTACTAAAGGTACTTGATAAATATCTATTAGATCAATTAAAATTCTAACATGTTATAGAACTTTCCTCCTGAAGCAGAAAGAATATGAGGTTCAAACAAATGTCAATCCTGGTTGTCTGCTCTTTCTTTCTTTTTTTATTGACTTTCTTTTTTGATATAAAACACAAGGATTATTTTCTCTTTCCATCCCTCTGAATCAGTTTTCTTTTCATTCTTCTTTACCTAAAACTATAAAGCTTTCAATAGAATTTTTAAAAAATCTATAACTATTTTTTACGTTACTTTTTTCCATCTCCTGTGATTATTTCTGATCTACCACTAGGTTATTCTATAAGCCTGAAGGGGTATGCTATTCCTTGCTATTCTTTCTCAGATTGCTGAAGAGATAATTTTCCATCCTTCAGTACTGGCAAAAATATTTTATTTATATTCTTCCATCATAAATAAAGCTATATTCATTTTTAGCTTTTACAAATAAAATGTACTCTCTATTCTTGGCATGATTTAAATATAGACATCAGAGGCTGAAGATATCAGAAAATAGACTTTATATATAAAGGAATCCTCAAAGACGGTGATCAAAATTTATGTATGTTCATTATCAATTTATGACTGACCTCAGAGACATGCAGAACACTATCCCTGCCTTATGAAGAAAAACCTGTTTCAAACTTTCAAGAATCACCAAATCTGAATTGTTGATGCTAAAGGTATTGTTAATTTCAAATTGTTGGAAGGTAACAGAATATAATCTAATAGTAAGAGAAAAGCAACCAAATTCTTTGGGAAACTTCCATTCTTAAGTACTTCCGTAACCAAAGCATGCCATTAATGATAGAATATTTCTCAAAAATTCAAGTTCTAAAAAGCTCCCTCTTAAAAGTTCCTAGATAAGGTTCCTTCTCATATAATCCACAAGTCTTTGTTCTCTCCTTCAAATCCCTGAATATTATGACATGAGTGTAATATGACAAAAGAGTCTAAAGATTTTTATTTGTTTCGAAATCTCCTCTCAGCCTGTGCAGCTCAGTTATGTCAGCTTAGATGGGCAATGATCCCAACCTTGAAGATCCTGAGGAATATTGCAAAACATACCTCAGGCATTTTTCTTACTGCATAGTTTGTATTCTAAAATGGCAGAAACACAGCTGAAATATTGATTTTTCTTTATCTAGTCTATATTTTCCAGTCCTTCAGTACTATTGTGCTGTTTTCAAAAATTCAAATCAACTTTAAACAACACCCGAAGTGCAGCCTTTAGATAAGTCTTCTGGAATATCATGAATCTCCTACAAAGGGCCAAAACCAGACAAAGTACTAAGAGTGCCTGATAGAAATGAAGAATTCTACAGGAAAGCAATAGAAGAGAATTAAAAAAATATGTATCTATAAGAGAATGGTGCCTTGAAACATAAATTTAAATTGTGATGAGTTCTCCCAAGGTCCGTGAGAAAAAGGAATAAGGCGAGAAACAGAGTAAGAGGCAGTGACAGGACAAAGGGTATAGAGAAATTCCCCCAACGGCAGAGATGGAAAGAACCTCGGAGGTTTGCCACCCTGCTCCTCAACTGATGGTTGAACGAACCCCCTACATATCCCAGACTAGGACTGACTGGCCTCTCCCTATTTTAGAAGAAAGTCACCTCTCTCCCACCCCCTTTTCCCAATACCCCTTTCCAAGCACGCTATCACCCACCTCCAAGGACTGTGCCCAGGAAGATGCATTTCTTTTTGTGACGTTTCAGAAAATTCCACATAGATCTCAGCATCTTTAGGCCCTGGGGATGTGGGCTGCCTAGGGGTGAGGGGCTGGTTCACCAGGAAACCGTTTCTTTGTCACCTGGCCCGTACGACCCAGCAGGAGCGCCGTCGTCCTGCTTGGTGCTCTCCAGAAATCACAGATGCGACTTTCCTCGGAGACTGTCACCGGAGCGGGAAGGGGGCGTGGACTACGGCACAGCAGCTGCGCTTTCTGCCCTGTCGCGCCGCCGCCGCCGCTCACTAGTCCGGCGCGTCCAGGTCCGCTCAGAAATCACTCCCGGGTGCGTTGCCATTCGACTCCCCTGGAAACGATGGCCCGCGCTCGCCGCGTTCCGCTGCCTGAGCTCCTCTTCCGCGGTGGCCCGGGCTCTGAGTGGCAGCCCAGTGCGGCATGGAGGCGAAGGCGGCGTCCACGCTGTCTACGGGCGGCGCGTTCTCGGTATCCGCGGGGGAAACCGAAAAGTGGATGGAGGAGGCGATGCTCATGGTGAGGAGCCCGGGAGGTAGATGCCGCGGGTGGGAACTTTCTCCGGCCGTCACCCAGACCCGGGCTTTTGGGCAAACGTCCAGGGCGCGCTTTCTCGTCACATTCTTGATTTCTCACTATGGCTCTGGGGGAAGGAAGGCAAGGAAGTAAGGAAATTATTTGTTTCATTGGTATGGAGTATGCTCCAAACTTAGCGATTCAGACGCTTGCTGATATGTGCTTCCTCCCTTTCCTTCCTGTGGTCACACACTCTCAAATCCACAAAGTCACATTATGTGTTTTTGGCTTCTTGAACATATCTATTATAGTAGAAGAAAGGAAGCTGAGAATGTTTCTGGTAGAGAGCAGTATGAAAACAAGCTCCTGTGCTATCAGCGTCTATTATTCATTCATTCATTTATTCTGCTTCCCTCTGTCCTTTTACTTCTTTCCTTCCTTCCCTCCCTCAGGACTGCTCATTAAGGAGGGCTCTTATCAGATTTGTGTAGGGATAAAAGTATGGGATCTATATGTATTAATGTATGATTATACATACTATAGATACATTTATACATTTATATGTAAATGTGTATATGTATTTACATATATAAATGTATACACACAGTCAGGCCTCGCAAAAACCAGGTCAACAAGGACCACATATACAGCTGTGGTCCTCTCGTATAATGGAGCTGAAAAATTCCTATTGTCTAGTGATGTGTAGTCATCCTAACATCGCAGTGGAATGACTTAATTTTCTCTAAGCCTTAGTTTGTCTATAATTTTTTTTTTTTCTTAAGAGACAAGGGCACGCTTTGTTGCCCAGGCTGTAGTGCAGTGGCTGGATAAACAGCACACTGCAGCCTCAAATTCCTGAGGCCATCCTTCCGACTCAGCCTCCTGAGTGGCTGGCACTACAGGTGTGAGCAGCAACCACACCTGGCAATTTTTAAAATACATTCAGTGTAGCCCAAATGTACAGTGTTTATTAAGTCTACAGTAGTGTGCAGGAATGTCCTAGGCCTTCACATTCACTCACTACCCACTGGCTTACCTAGAGCTTCCAGTCCTATTGTAAGTGACCATCTATTGTAAGTGACCTATACAGGTGTAGCATTTTTTCTTTTATGCATATTTTTACACTACCTTTTCTATGTTAGATATGTTTAGATACACAAATGCTTACCATTGTGTTACAGTTGCCTGCAGTGTTCAATACAGTAACATACTGTACAAATTTGTAGCCTGTACAATAGGCTACTCTATACCATCTAGCCTAGGTGTGTGGTAGGCTAGACCATCTAGGTTTGTGTAAGTACCTTCTATGATGTTCACACAGTGATGACAAAAATCACCTAACTATGCATTTCGCAAAATGTATCCCTGTGGTTATGTGACACATGACTGCATGTGTATACATATATGCACACACGTATAAATATATACGAAATACCCTTCAATTTGTCATTTCTCTGGTACTTCTGTAAAAATAAAAAACTTTTTCATACATGTTTTTGATTATATTTTTCTATCCTTAATGGCCTCTGGTCTCCTATAGTTAATTAATTCAATAATATTGATTCATTCATTTATTCCACAAATGTTTATTGCATGTACTGTTCTTGGCATTGGGAATTCAACACTGATTTTGCTGTATTCTGCTCTGTTCTTCTACTATATAAACTCTCACATTATTTCCCTTGCATTCATTCACCATTATAGCCAAATATTTTTCAGTTTCTTATGTAAGCCATGACACATTAGAACATCTATTCATTGTTTCTGTTACTTACATAATGTTTTCTTAAACTTGCTTCTCATACTTTTTTTGAAGTGACCCACAGTAAAAAAGTCTATTTTATATTACAATCCAGGAAATACACATATAATTTAAACAAGTTTCACTAAATAGTACATACCCTTTCTTTCTATGTATAGTTTTTCTGGTATTTAAGTTTTTACTACATTTAAAAAAATGCTGGTCATGACTCATTAACTTGATATAATGACCCATTCTTTAAGCCCACTTCTAAATTTATTTTTCCCATTAAACTTACAGGGTGCATAACCTGCTATCTGATACTTTAAAAAATATGTTCACAGATGCATTTAAAAATTAATTTGTAATTTGTATGTAATAATATGGATTTATTAGTCCTGAACTCTTTTATGTTACTAAATTCTCCAAGTTGGAGACAGTAGTTTTTATGTGATATCAAAATTTTATTCTCCCTTCCTCAAATCATTTCAATAACATTCATATCATTTGCTAGGTAGTTTCTTAATAGTGATGATGATAACATAATAATGATGCTTGAAGGCTAAAATATAGAATAAGTTGCAGTTGTATCCTTCGATGGGTGAGAGATCTAGAGGACAGGGGATGCTTGAATGTTGGGAAGTCAGAATTTGTGGTCTCTTCCATTTATTTTCATGACCTCTCTTGAAAGTATTCACGTGTGGAGCTTACTTAGATGAAATTTTCAGAGCTGATATAATTGTTTCAAAAATAGCTATGTTTAGTCATTCATTGAGCTTTTCATTTTGGGTATCAGAACTGTGTTTTCTTTCCATACTTTTATATTTCGGATCTTTATTTTCCTTTAAGCGTCTTGTGGTCCTAATATCTTTGAGCATTCATTCACCCACCTCTGCACTATTTTCTTTCTTTTTTTTCTTTCCTTCCTTTCTCATTCCTTTCTTCCTTCCTTCCTTTCTTCTTATTTCTCTCTTTCTATCCCCCCTTCCTTTCTGCCTTCATTTTTTTTTCCTTTTGAGATGGGATCTTGCTCTGTCACTCAGGCTAGAGTGCAGTGGTTTGATCACAGCTCACTGCAGCCTCCAGCTCCTGGGCTCAAGTGATCCTCCTGCCTCAGTTTCCTGAGTAGCTGGGGCTACTCAGGAACAGGCACACACCACCACACCTGGCTAATTTTTTAATTTTTTGTAAAGACAGGGTCTTGCTATGTTGATCTCTAATTCCTGGCCTCAAGTAGTCCTCCTGCCTGGGCATCCCAAAATGCTGAGATTGTAGGTGTGAGTCACCCACCTGGCCAGCACTATTTTCTATGTAACCTTCTAGACTAAACACTTTAAGTCAATTTACTACCTTTTAGAGTGACCTTGGACAAATCCTTTCACCCCTAGGGCTTTGCTTTCTACTCTATAAAATGGGATGGTAGAACTCCAAAGAGTTTCTATGATTCCTCTGACCTTGACATTTTTGTCTCTCTTTCTCTCTCTTTTTTTTTAATTTCAGGGTATTATGAAGGTACAAACATTTTGGTTACATTTTAAGTCTTTGCCTCTCCCTAGCAGAGTTAGAGGCATGCCCTTCCCCTCTATAGTGCGCTTAATTGGATTATAAACACCTAGGGGTGTGATTGCATAGTTTTCCCCCTCCTGCACAGGGTTTAGGAGTCCCTTACTTTGCAGCTGCTTTTTTGGTTTTAGCCTATACATGTTTCTTCTAGGCCTTTTAAGGGAAGGGAAAAAAGAGCTTGCCATGAATCTTGTGCTTTGTTCAACCATCACCCACTCCCCCAAAGAAACTTCGAATCTTAATTACTTGGAAGAATTCTTCTTAGAAGAGTTTAAGATTAGATCAAAAGTGTAACTAGTATCAAATCTGGAAGGAACAAGTTAATCTGATTAATTTGTACTAAAATTTGAAAGTGAAATGTCCAGTATTGTACATAATAAGTAAGATACTAACATCCTCATAGCATATATACAGAGTAGACATAGTATTTAAATGGCCAATACAAATAACTAGAATGGCTGGCTATGATGGGGCCAGGCAGGTGAACACAGCCAAATCTTGAAATTTGGGGGTCTCCATTTGTTTATGTTTAAAATAAAGAGGTTGCACTAGAAAATTTCTATCCTGTTTTTTGCCTTTAATTAAACAAATAAGCCTGGGTTATAAAAAGAAAGGAAAATAGTTCTTTAGAAAGCTTAAAATATAATTTATTAAAACTGTCATCTAAAGTTAATCAGATTATGCAAAAATAGTACAACCCTTCCAGTCTAACAGGTACAACATTTTTGGAAGACAACGCAGCATAATATAATTAACAGTCACAAAAAAGGTTTGCATCATTTGACCCAGTAATATGATTACTTGTGGAAATAGTTTAGGAAGATAGAAAACAATTATTTTCATTTCAATGTTGCATGTAACAGTGAAAACCAGGAAGCATTACAAACTTTCAAGTATGGAAAATGGTTAGTTGAATTGTGGTATATTATTGTATTAAATAATATGCTGTTATTAAAATCATTATGGATATTAGGAATAAACATAATATTAAAGTTCACACACAGTTAAATAAACAGAATACAAATTATTTTATACTTAAATATGTAAGTGTAGAGGTTAGCTATGTTCAGATGGCTACTAACTAGCAAACTAACCTTGACAAGTTCTTAATCTTTCGGTCTCAGTGTCCTCTCTGTAAAATGGGAATGTGATTTCTATCTCACAGAGTTGTGTAGATTAATAGAGATAATGTTTGTAAAGCATTTAACATAGTTTGCTCAGTAAATAGAAGCTGTTATTTTTATCAAGTGAACTAAGACCAGAGGAGAACATACGATGATTAGTTAAAATGGTAAAGTTGTGGGTGATTTTAAAGAAATCTATCAATGTATTTTTGTAGTAAAAATCTAACTGAAAAAATAGGATTAAAGAGTAAAGGCAAATAAAACAATAATAAAACCATAAGAGAATCAGAAATAAATAAATATTAATATTTATATAATCTTGGACTAGAGAAGGACTCTTTATACCACCAAAGGCAGAAAACATAGAAGAAAAATTGATAGGTTATCATTATATAAACATTGAAAACATCTGTATGTTTAAAAAGATAAGATACAAAGTAACAAAGCAAATGACAAAGGAAGAAAATATTTGCAACATACATACATATAAAGGACAGATTTAAGAACCTTAATATATAATTGATATATTTATATAAAATAGAAGTACTTTCCAAGGTGAAAGAGAACATGTATACCCTAATACTGAAAAGGTTAAAGGATATGAACATAATTTTCTAAAAGAAAAAGCCCACAAGTGTGTAAGCAAATATGCAATTTCACTAGCAACAAAAGTTAAATTAAAAAGATACAATTTTTCACCTCTTAAATTGGCAATAGTGAAAAAAAATGTAATGCTTGGGGTCAGTATGGGTGTATGTGAGGAGTTTGTTGGTTGACAGGCGCTGAACTGAGGGCAACCTTTCCATAGGGCAATTTGTCTATGTAGATATAAAAAGCCTTAAAACTGAGCTTAGTCTTGGACCCGGTAATACCCTTTTTGTTTTTTTTCTAAAATGAAAATATTTTAATATTTTTTATTGTATAAGTAATTCATAGTCATAAGAAATTCAAACTATGAAAAAGAGTTAACAAATTATACACAAATTACCTAAAAGTCTACAGGTGCGTGCCACCATGCTTGGCTATTATTAAAAATGTTTTAGAAACAGAGTCTTGCTGTGTTGCCCAGGCTGGTCTCAAACTCCTGGTCCTACTCCAGCCTCCCAAATATCTGGGATTATAGGTATGAGCCACTGCTCCCTGGTGCTAGTTCATTCCTTTTTATTGCTACATTCCATTCCATAGTATAGATGTATCATAGTTTGTTTAGCTATTCATCCACTAAAGGACATTTGAGTTGTTTCTAGTTTTTGGCTTTTATGAATAAAACTGCTATGAACATTTGTATACACAAACTTATGTACTGTGTGACCATAAGTTTTCATTTCTCAGTGATAAAGGCCCAAGAGTGCAATTGCTGGGTCATATATTAAGCACATGTTTAGCTTTTTAAGAAAATGCCAAACTATTTTCCAGTGGGCTGTGCTATTTTACATTCCCACTAGCAAGGGGTCTGAATGATCCCATATCTCCACAGCCTTGCCAGCATTTGGTGTTTATACTTTTCATTTTAGCCATGCTGATGATTGTGTGGTGGTATCTCATTGTGGTTTTAATTGGCATTTCTCTACTGGCTAATGATATGAACATCTTTTCATGTACTTATTTGCTAACAATATCGTCTTCTTTTGTGAAATGTGTGTTCATATCATTTGCCCTTTTTCTAATGGGATTATTTTTTTGCTGTTGAGTTTTGAGAGTTCTTTATAGAGTGTAGATACTAGGGCTTTCCAGATACATGGTTTGCAAATATTTTCTTCCAGTTCCTGTTTGTTGGGTATATTAGTGTCCCATGGCAGCTGTAACACATTATCACAAACTTGGTGACTTAAAACAGCACAGAAGTGTATTTTCATACAGTTCTGGAGGCCAGAAGTCTGAAATTAGTTTCAGCGAGCCAAAATCAAGGTCTTGTTAGGGCCATCTAGGGCCAAATTTCCTCTGGAGACTGTAGAGGGGAATTTGTTTCCCAGCCTTTTCCAGTTTCTGAAGTGACATTCTGTATGTAGCTCATGGCCCATTCCTCCATCTTCAAAGCCAGCAGTGTGGCATCTTCCAGTCTCTCTCTTTGCTTCTTCCATCATCACGTTGCCTCCTGCCTTCTGTGTCAAATCTCTCTCTTACGAGGACATTTATAATTATAGGGTCTGCTTGGATAATCTTGGATAATCCCCTCATCTCAAGATCCTCAACAAATATTTGTTGTATGAATAAATGATTTGTCTCTCTTGTGTATCTGGGATTGTGTGTAATCCTAAACTTATTTTAAATAACATTCTTAGTGTGATGATTGCCATAACTGCACTGGTACTTAGCATCTCCCTGTCAGTCCTTCTTCTGGCTTTTTTCTCTATAGTAGTAGCCTTTGGTGCATTCGTATGTATGCACCAAACCTCAAAACTCTTCAGGCTTTTGAACTTTGCATAAACTAGACGTGCTTTAACCACTGTCACCGAACTGGAACACAACCTGCCTGTGGGTAGTTCATGACACAGTCCTGAAGAATGCAGTCTTACTGCATCAGATACTGTCTGCTCACATCTCTCCATGCTCCATCTCTGTCCTACCACCCAGGAGTTTTAAGGAGAGATCCAGCTTTTACCACAAAGTGCTTCTCTTTTAGCCTCTATTGACCACATGAAAAGTATGTGTCAGTTGATCATGGTTGATATAAGGAAATCCTGCATGTGTTATGATAGGAAGTTGTTGCTAGCTAAAGTAGAACTGGGAGTAAGAGGCTAGTGCAGGAAATTCATCCATGTTGTAGAGATATCAGTAGTTTGTGGCTTTTTATTGCTGACTAGAATTACATTGTATGAATATGATTAAATTTATATACATTGTCTTGTTGATGGACGCCTGTGCAGTTTTCAGGTTTTGGCTATTATGAACATTCTCTTTCAAGGCTTTTTTTTTTTTATAGAGGTGTATTCCCTTCTCTTAGATAAATACTTAGGAGTGGAATTTGGTCATGGGCTGTGTGTATATTTACTTTTAAAGAAACTTCCAAAATGTTTTTCAAAGTGGTTGTGCTGTTTTTACATAGAGTGCTCCTAAACTTTTATTGTCTCATGTAGTGCAGTGTGGGACACGGTGACATCCCATCCAGTCTGGTCACCTTTTTGCTATAGCGAGTCCAGAGGATAATTTCTATAATTTTAGAGAAGCAAAAAAAAAAAAAAAAGGGCAAGTATTAGTAGAATTTCAACAAGGAAAGGATTCTAACAAAGTATTTGAAAATGCTATTTATTCTCCTACCTCTTTTGCAAATTTGTTTACTATCTCTGAAAAGGCACATAGACCCTGGCACTCTAACAACCACGGCCAATAACAGTCCTTTGATCACATCGGCTTCCAGTGAGAAGCTGGGCCCCAGGGCCTCAGGACCTATGAATGGGATTTGTTTCTGAGTCTCACATAACATGGACACACATAACAGAGACCATAGGCGCTAGATACTATAATGGAATTACATTTGAGAAAAGGGAAAGCTCAGCTGCATTTCTTTGTTCTAATGTTTGTACACATGCATCTTATTCATGATGCAACTATTTCTTTCCTGTAGTCTTTTCAAGTATTGAGCGTTATGTTTTAGATTTTCCACTTTGTGTTTCAGGCCAAAGAAGCCCTTGAAAATATTGAAGTTCCTGTTGGCTGCCTTATGGTCTACAACAATGAAGTTGTGGGGAAAGGAAGAAATGAAGTTAACCAAACTAAAAATGTATGTGAATTGAAGAGTATAAATGCAAACATACAGTAGTGATGATTGGAAGAGAGTGAACTTATCAGAGTTGGTGAGAAGATGAGATAAAATATAGTCCTGTAGCTACCAGTGGTAGGGGAGTTTTTCTTAACATCTATTTTTGAATACCATTTTTTTCTGATTTTAAAAGTGATATATGTGGATTTTTTATAAATGTGGAAAATTCAGAAAAATTTAATAAAGCAGTAAGATCTTAGTGAGTAATTTTCTATTTTATGGAGTTTTACTTTAACACGTGAGTGAAACCCAAGAAGGAATTTTGTTGTATCAGAATATTGGCATGGAAGAAACAAATCTATTTCTACCTTAAGGCAGTCTAGTGTATGAAAACTCCACTTTACAAAATAGATCAATTTAACTTGTAATGCATTCTTTAGTACCTTTAAGTAATGCTTTTCTCCTGGTAATTAAAGAATTATCCACAATTTATAACATTGGAAGGAAGTATAAAAGAACTATATAAAGGAAGCTATTTCTATATCAGATAATTCAACAAAATAAGGTCTCCAACACTAGCTGCCTGTGTAGCTACATGTGGTATGTACACTTTAATAGCCTGTGTGACTTTTATAGTGGTTAGGACGGGAAGTTCATGGTTTAAGGCAATGCTTCTTAAACATTGTATCACAACAGTGTGTAAGTATACTTGGAAAATATAAATAAAGAGCCAAATTTTATGATTATAAAGGTGGACTCAAGGATAACTTATATGTGTAAAACCATTCATGTGGTCTTTGATCTTATATGATATTGGGAGCCAGAAAATAAGTTGGTATTGGTACCCGGTACTGTGGGGAATTTAAAGTTTATCTATTGTATCTATCAAAAAGAAAATTGAACTTTAGCAAAATATGTGTAAAGTAGGAAACCAGATTCACAAAGCAATTATTTATTTATTTATGACCATAAAACATGATTATATTTCAGTACATAACTTCTGTACAAACAAAAAATAAAACATGACAATTAAATAAATGGGAATAAATGCGGTATTTCATTTACAATGACAAAATATTAATGTCCTTAGTGATAAATGAGCTCTTAGAAATCAGTAACAAAGAGACTAATATTACAAGGGAATTGAAAATAAAAGGAATAGAAAAAAAATGAAACAACACAAATGACTGATATAGCTAAGGTTATATGAGGATGACCTAGCTTAACACTAACAGACATTTTCTTGCAATATTACATTATCAGTGATTAAAAATACCAATATCTAATGTTTGTACAGTTTTAAGAAGTGAGGAACTCTCAAACACTGGGGAAACTTACTCTTATTATGGAAAATTTACTCACAATACAGATTTTTGCATATACCTTGCCCTGGCAGTTCCAATCCATAGGAATTATTCTAACAAAGTAGTTGAATAGATTCAAATTTATGTGTAAGCATGTACACTACATGAAAATCTATAGCTAATATATTGCCCCCACCAAAAAACTGCTTATTTATCAGTTTGTTTATGAAAAAAATTGTAGATTGAAGAGTAGAATTAGAAAGAAAAAAAGCACTTCAATAAAGAATACTAGATTTCACAAAATTCTATGTCCTTCGAATCCTTGAAAAAGATACATTTTTAATATAAGTGAAAATTATAAATATATACACTTCATACTTGTGAAGCCTTTGCAATTCCACCATTCTGAGCTTCTCTGTGCAATAACATCTCAGTCATTCCAGCTCCAGGCACAGAAGGCCATAATGAAAACAGTCATCATGCCCAGTTAGAATTCTCGTCAATCACACTCTTTAGGTTACTTCCCCAAAATGAGCTTTCTCAGTCTAGTTTTTTAGATCTGCAAGGATTGTCCATTGCAACACACGTAAGTGAGAAGTCTCCATGTGTGCTGAAGACTGTATTTTAGTTTTGGTGGAGCCAGTGGTAGAAACAATGGCATCGGTTCCTTTTTGGTCATCACAATCATACTGCCAAGGGAGTGAAGAACACTTGAATGAGATACTCCAACAAGTCATTCACTGATGGTAGGTTCCATTCTTAAGATTAAAAACAAAGATGACAAAATTGTTCCTTCTTGGAACTATCATCTCCTAGGGTTTGCAGTTAAGACGTATTTAATTGATACATAGGGGCTCTGTAGGAAGGAGGATATTCCTGAAGATTTCAGCTGTACTCAGGTTAGCTGCAAATATGTCTTTCTCTCATCACGATCATCTCAAATTGCATCTTCTGCCTTCTTTCCTTGGTTAATCCAATATTCTTTGTTTCCCTGTAAGACTCTGCTGCCTAAATCACATGTTCTTCATGAGATTATTCAAAAGCCATTCATAGTGGCTGCTGAAAATAAGAAGTTGGATACAACAGTCCAACACTTTCATGATGCTGATAGACAAGGATGAAGAGAGGCACAAATGGGCTGTCTCTTTAAAATTTTCTTTGATGCTTTAATGTTCATTTTGAAAAACCTTTTTTTAAAAAAAACATACTTCCATATTGGAATATTTTTTCAGTGTTTGAATTACATTCATGTTGAATCACAAAGCAGTTATTAAAAGGACATCAAGATATCTATGAGATAAGAAATACATATAATACAGCAATTAATGAGTATACTGATACTTATTTGGGAATGGAATTCTGTATTTTAAATAATTGCCATATCTTCCAATTGTATTTTGTGATTTGGTATGACATCTTTAACATTAGAACATCAAATGTCCTGACAATGTCCATTTAGCCTCCCCAGTGACCTGGGTTTCTTCTATACCTTTAAATTAACCTGAGTTTATTTTGCTATTCTGTGTCATACAGAAGATTTTCCTGTAAATACAACAGAGAAAACTCTTGACCTGAATAAAGAGGCCTGAGTTCTACTTTTGGACATGATGCCACCACCATCATGTTACCACCACCACCTCCTTTCCTGGCTGTGTATCTTTAATACGTGCAAACTTTGCTTTGCTTAACTTCTGTTTCTGTAGCAATTAAAGAGGAAGTTGACTGAGATAATTCCGTTCAACAATTATTTACTGAGAGCTAGGAGGAGATTTGATTTAATAATTTTGAATCTGATTTTTTAAGAGCACCCAAGTTGGGGCAACTTTTTTTTTTTAAGCTCTCCAGTTGGTTTTAGTGTCCAGCCAGGTTGGGAAACTCTTCTCTAAAGCACCTTCCATCTCTGAGTTTATAATTAATTCTGTGATTCACCCATGCAGCCCCCTCGGCCAGCTGTGTTCCCACCTGCCTCCGGCTTCCATGGCATCTTGGGCCACTGTGCCAGCACTTTTCACACCCTATCCTATCTCACAGATAAATGAGCACCTTTCTGTTTGCCCCACCAGATTTTATGCTTGTGGAGTATAGAGACTTTTTGTCCTACACAGAATTTATTTAGCACAGTGGCTTGTACATAGCACTCAGTGTAAATTATTAATAAATGCTATTGTCATGAATATTATAAATAATTGTTGCATATAGGATCTATGGATCACATATCTATGGATAAGCTATGTCAGTAAGGGGGAAAGGAGGGGAAGAGAGCTGGCGTAGCACATATATAGTGTCTTGTGGCATCACGCTTCATGTAACACAGATTTCTTTATGAGACGTAGAGGCATAGTTACCAGTGTACACCATTTTACATATGTGGACACCAAGGCATAGAGAAGTTGACTAAGGCCACATAATTAGAAATGTCACTGTCAGGATTCAAATTTAAATGCAATTGATTCCACATGCTGTGTGATTTCTCCTATGCTATCCTGCTTCCCATGAGGTGTCTGAGACCAATACTCAATCTCTACTTCTCTGGAGTCTGCCATTGTATAAAATCTCACCCCCCAAAATGGAAGTGATAACACTCCAGTAAAGCAAATATAAATTTGCTTAGAGTGAGGTCAATGACAGCTTTGAAAATATATTTGAAACTGGAGCACAAGCTTCCCCTGAAATATTCAGAAACCATACACTTATGGTTTTTTTTTTTTTAGACTTATCTTCTCTATGGAATTTTAATTGACAGAGTCTCCCCTAGGGTACTTAGGTACGTAACTAAAAATATAGCGTGATTTCAACAGCATCTCAGATTAGGAATCTTTTGCTGGTAAGGTTATGGTACTTGAACTGAGGACTGCATTGTCAACTGCTAAGGGTGTCCTGATTTATTCATTAAAATGTTGGCAGAAATGATAGGCACATTCTTTGTATTTGTTGTTCATGTATTTGTAAAATAGCAGTTACATGAAGCAAACAATGCAAACATCTTTCTCTTTTCAGGCTACTCGACATGCAGAAATGGTGGCCATTGATCAGGTCCTAGACTGGTGTGCTCGAAGTGGCAGGAGTCCCTCTGAAGTGTTTGAACGCACCGTGCTGTATGTCACCGTGGAGCCGTGTATTATGTGCGCAGCTGCTCTCCGCTTGATGAGTATCCTTTGACTCCATAGGTTAATGTCATATGCCCTTCCTGTGAACAAGAAAGTGGCCAGAGGCATAGCTTGTTTTCTAATACATGAAAACACAGACATATGAAACACCTTGTAAAATATGGTGTCTCTTGGCCAAAAAAGGGAAAGATTTTTAAATAGTAAAATTATCTATTTTCATATTAATGATCATAGAACTATTAAACAAATAACCTAGAGAAAGAAAAAGCTTAGAACTAAAACTGTTACATAAGGATAAATCATAAATTAAGTTAAAGTAGATTATAAAACCACGTGCATAGGAAAAGTCCCGAAGAACATGCAGCTCAGTTTTGCCTTTGGATAATGGATTACAGGTGATTTAAATTTTTTTTTCTCTGCTTATCTTTTTTTTTTTTTTATTGTTGTTACCATGAATACCTATTACAATGTGTAAAAAATTGTGTTGAAAGTAAATAAAGGTTGAGTGCAGTGTGGCTCATGCCCACAATTCCAGCATTTTGGCAGGCCAAGGCAGGAGAATCGCTTGAGACCATGAATTCTAGATCAGCCTTCAGGGGTCCTCAAACTACGGCCCACGGGCCACATGTGGCCCCACAGAGGACATTTATCCGGCCTGCCTGGTGTTTTTGTCACTGCTGCCTGTCCTGCTTAGCAGCCGACTGGTCCCGGGCCCACAGTGTGCATGTGTGGAATGTGCGCCGCACTCTCCAACGGCCCTCCAGCTATCTGAGGGACAGTGACCTGGCCCCTTGTTTAAAAAGTTTGAGGACCCCTGGCTAGATCATATGGTGAGACCCCATCACTACAAAAAAATTAAAAAATGAGCCGGGCATGGTGGCGCATGCCTGTATTCCTAGCTACTGGGGAGGCTGAGGCAGGAAGATCACTTGAGCCCAGGAGTTGGAGGCTATAGTGAGCTCTTATTGTGCCACTGCACTCCAGCCTGGGCAATGGAGTGAGACCCTATCTGCAAAAACAAAAAGGAAAAAGTAAACACTTATAATATTATAATTATAAGTAAATGAAAACTTAATAAAGTCACAGCTCTTGGATTATGTCTTGCATAGAGTAAGCAACATAAATATTGAATGGAATCAGTCTCTAAAGATCTTTTTAAAAAAATTATTTGAAAATTCAAAAACTCAGTTTCATACTTGCTTATTTTTTATGTACTTATTTTACTGTGTGTATGCAAGTAGTTTTATCCCTTAAAAATAATACAGAGGTTTTCGAGTACAATAATTATACAATCTCTATAAAAGGGTAGTTATGGCCAACTTAGAAATCTCTCCTCACCCTGCCTTACAGAGTGGCTTAGTGTTAGTCTACTTTATATTGGGCACAGGTTATGTTTTATTTGGGAAAAGAACAGGGAACAATCTGTTATTTTTAAAAGGTGAAAATCCCTGGATTAAATTTCTGCTTCTTTTCTGGCTGTAATTCTCTAATGATTCTGAAAATGTGATTTAGGAAAGAGTAGAGAGAGCACTAAACTGTGGATATTAAGCATCTACATATGCAGTTTCACTCTGTTTGCAGTTGTTTGATATTAATTTCTAAATATTTTAAACCTTTTTCTTTTATGTAGCTGGATTTTGTGGTTTTTAAGACTAATCCTAAGCTTAATTGTTTTAAAGAGTAGCACGAGCTTTTCTCTCCAGAATAGCTAGTATAAACGTATCCTGACTTTGCCACGAAATGCATTTGAACTGAACATTCTATGCAGGACCTTAATTTTGCCTTATAAATCCCGCTGGTTGTGTATGGCTGTCAGAATGAACGATTCGGTGGTTGTGGCTCTGTTCTAAATATTGCCTCTGCTGACCTACCAAATACTGGGAGACCATTTCAGGTAATATGAACTGCTTTATGCTTTTTCTTTCTTTCTAACTACTTTCATCTCATTATGGGCTTGCGGATAGTGTTGGTCAGTATACCAAGAAGCCGTGATAGAAGCAGACTTCTTGGATCTCAGGATCTATGGTTGAGCTTTTTCACGCCTCAGTGTAAGATGCCAGGTAAGAGTCTCTAGAGAAGTGCCTACCTCTCTTCCTTCACAGAATCTCTCTTGAAGGAGAGTCCCTACCTTTCCCAGGTGATTCCTAACAACTTTTACCAACGCATTTGGGTATGTTTAAGAAACTCTTGCTATTGGAGTTTTTATTCAATGAATGTTTCCAGCTCTGTGCCCTACAGTTTGGTGAAGCTTGGCCTGTGTCAGTGAAAGTAGATGTCATTTACAACAAACACAATATTTTTGCACAATTTAACCATTTTGCTTGATTGCCACATACTACTTTTAGTATCTAACAATCAGTCACTATATTTTCACTATTTTTTTCTGCCTTTTTAATGTTAAAATTTCCCCAGGACCCAAGAATTCACATCTTTAATCCTACTAGAAATCCTACTTTCCCTTTAATCTTGCCACTTCTCCCAGAGTTTTTATGGGTAAGACTATGGGCATTAGGAATTTGTTTCAGAGTTTGGTTTGTGGATACATATCAGTTTTCATAACTGGTTTGATCGTTTTTGTTTCCAAGATGTAAGGTTAATCCCAAAGTATTATGCTTTAAAAAGAAAAGGATTTAACAAATGCTGGACATGATGGACAGTTTACTTCAAAGACTTCAGCTATTCCTAGAATATTATTAATATAAGGACCTGAGAAGGGCAAAATTTGGGTGAATCCCACTGAAAACAGGCTTTCTAAAATGTTCTGTCTTGAGGTTTCCCAGCTGAACATTAGCTTTCCTACAACTCTTGTACAGTTGACAATAGATGCCTTTTAACATCACATCAGAAAATAAATTGTAATGGAATGATGAAGATTAAAGGATACAATTGGCTCGATCATGAAAAATATCTACAAAATGATATGATTGCCGGGCGCGGTGGCTCACGCCTGTAATCCTAGCTCTCTGGGAGGCCGAGGCGGGCGGATTGCTCAAGGTCAGGAGTTTGAAACCAGCCTGAGCAAGAGCGAGACCCCGTCTCTACAATAAATAGAAAGAAATTAATTGGCCAATATATATATATATAAAATTAGCCGGGCATGGTGGCGCATGCCTGTAGTTCCAGCTACTTGGGAGGCTGAGGCAGGAGGATTGCTTGAGCCCAGGAGTTTGAGGTTGCTGTGAGCTAGGCTGACGTCACGGCACTCACTCTAGCCTGGGCAACAAGCGGGACTCTGTCTCAAAAAAAAAAAAAAAAAAAAAAATATGATTTTTCCAATCACTTCTACTAGTAGCTCAAATTTTGCTTATATAACTCATTGCAAATGAATTGCCAACCCCATATTTCCTTTGTGAGAATGATCTAAAGAATTTCTCAACGCTTATGGGCAGAACAGAGGTGAGTCCTTGGATGTTAGATATGGGCAGAGCACTTCTCTCCAACATGTCAGTGATGTGACAGCACAAACACGGTTCTCTCTTACACATCTCTGCAGAGTTGATGTGGTTGAACCAAAAAAAAGTTCATTTGCATTGCGTATACCTGGCCACATTGGCTCAATTGTAAATGAATGCCTACGGCTTGAAGCCATATCTCTAGGTTTGATGCCATATTATGTTTTGAGATTCTAAAGAAAAAACATTGGTATCCCAGGTTTCTGAATACTGTGTTTTCTTTTTTTATTTGGCTGGGTTCAGAGGGTGGGAGGTGATTGGGATTTGGGATGCTGTTTTCTTATTGTAGAATTATAGATTCTTTTCATACTATATTGTAAGCAGTGCAAAAGGTAGATAACTACAGAACTATTCTTTTCAAAGCCGATAGTGATTCATTTATAATACTTATCTGCTCTTTTTTAAAAAAATGATCTTATTAAGAATATGTTTTTTATTAAAGCCATAAATTTGTAGCTATCATGGATACTTGAAAATACCATCTTAGTAACTTAGAGCAACACAATTTTCTTCTCTGACTGCATATAAAAATTACCTGGAGAGCTTTTTCTGTATGCCTATGCTTGGTTCCTGCCCCAGACCAGCGGAATCAGAAGGCAGGGGACAGATAGCGGTCCCAAGCAATTCTACAGATCTGCCAAGACTGAGAAGCACCGCTCTAACTCTACGTGCAAGGAGAGGGCTCTGAGTGAGTGGAGTGGAGAGATGGGCGCTCCAGCGAGCTCCAGTACTGATGGCGGCAGGATGTGAAGGGCAGCCGGGAAGGGACTGGCTGGCGATGATTAGGAGGATGGAATACTGAGAAGCCAGGAAGGAGAGAGTGGTCAGATGAAGCAGGTGTGGTCAGTGGTTTCCACGTCTGCAGAGAGTTGAGGTGGCAGAAAGGAGACCAGTGTTTTGGTCAGTAGGGGCCTTTGGGAGGGCAGCTTCAGTGGAGTGTCAGTAGCACAAGGCTGTGAGGATGAAGCCAAGGAAGAAATGGGAGCAAAGGTGAAGTCTGGAATGTTCTCAGGCAGGAGTAGAGTAGCAGCTTGTGAGGGGGGTAGAGAGGAAGGAAAGTTATTCGTTATGGGGAAGGTTTATGCAGGCTCTGTAGGCCCAGGCAAGCGCAGATCGAAGACACAAGAGAAAGGGAAATTCATTCTGAACAACGTCCCAGAGTGGTTGGTCCTCTCGTCCTCTGTACCTGTGCTCCCTGGCTCCTTCCTTTCCTCTATGCTGCTTTCAGATGTTCATTGTGACATTTCATGTACGTCAGAAGGGTGCATTATATCAAATTGAAACTCTTCTGACAAGTTTTATCTCCTTAACATCCTTCCTTATGCTTTCTTAATAATCAGCTCCCTCTGACCTCACTGGGTTTCCTTAGACACAACTGAGCTTATTTGTGCCCTTTCCTTGAAATGCCCTGCTTAGCTTCTTTAAATATTCTCTAGCTCTAAGGCGAGTTCAAGTTTCATCTTCTCCCTGTAAGATTTCATGTAATACCACTTCTTACTGTTAGCACAATTTCTTATTTATTCTTTCACATATTTTGTTCTCTTCTCTCCAGTTAGATCTCAAAGATAGAACAAACTTGAGTACTTAAAAAAATAATTCTTTATAGCAAGGATTGATAGACTTTTTCTGTAAAGGAACAGATATTAAATATTTTAGCCTTTGTGACTTTATATCTCTTTTACAGTCTTTTTTTTTTTTTACAACACTTTAAAAATATAAAAAGCATTCTTAGTTCCCCATTCTTAGCTGTGGACTAGATTTGATCCACCAAGTATAATTTGTCAACCCTAGCTCTATAGCACTGAACTTATAATGGACCACCAGTAAATAACAGCAGATAAAAATAGCTAATGCTTAATGAGCACTTACAGGTGCCAGGTATTTAGCTGGTATTATTTAATACTCAAAAAATCCCTCTGAGCTAAGTACTATTATCACATACATTTTACATAAGAGGCATAGAGAGTTTGAGTACCGTACCCAAGATCACATAGCTGGTAACTTCAATAATGGTTAATAAATAATAGTTGATTGGGAGTGATGTTTGACTGAGGCTATGTGTCTATTTTTTTTGGAAATGTACCTCGTTATCTGTCTTGCTAATACCTTCAAAGTTTATTAACATTATCTGAAATCGTTTTACATAATTATGTGTATATTGTTGTTTATATGTGATATGATACACATTGTCATAGGTCTGTTTTTATTCTCAACTTTCTCATTTCATCAGTGCATTCCTGGATATCGGGCTGAGGAAGCAGTGGAAATGTTAAAGACCTTCTACAAACAAGAAAATCCAAACGGTTAGTTTTCACTGGATATAATGGGCCCCCTTTAAAACAAATCTATATGGAGTGAGTCTGACACCAGCCATCCTCTTCATTTTTTCTTTTTCTTTTCTATTCTTTTCACAGCACCAAAGTCAAAAGTTCGGAAAAAGGAATGTCAGAAGTCTTGAACTTGTTCTGATGAAAAACTAATTAATGCCTCAAAGTGACCTGGACAAAATTCTTGGCCTGAAAGACTGTTGACATTGTTCAATCATGTGTTTATATGTTGTTGTTAATCTATGGAAAAATGGTGTCTCTCATCACTTGGTTTGTTAAGGGAACAAATTAGCGCTTTTAAAAAGTCTGACAATTGTAAACAACTATTAGCTTTTCCACAAGTTGAAAGAACATTTTAAGAAGGGGAAAAATTAAGGTTTGAGGTTTTAGAAATTAGCAAGCACTGCATGCCCTTCCTGCCACAACATTATGCCCTGTCTGGGCAAGTGCTGATTTTTCAGAGAATGTGCATTCGGACTCAGATACCTGACATGTGTCTAAATTGCAGTGGGCCACACTGCAGACATTTCTCCAGCACTGGCATTTCAGAGTCAGATTCTTCAGTTTTTACAGCTACTATGTTCTCCCAGGGCACTGGGGGCCTATGACTTCTCTTCAAATTGTATATGAGGTGTGTATGTGTGTGTGTGTATATATTATATGGTCCTTAGAGCAGACTGTTGCTTTTATAAAGCATTTAGAGAAAATGCATACTTTTAAAACAGGTGCTTGAGTGTCATTTTAAAATTATAGCATATTGCTAAAATAAAACTTTATGCCTTCTTTGAAGATGAATAATCTTAGAAATAAAAGATAAAAACATAAATGGGACAATGTCTTGTTACTGAGCAACTATTCTGTGCCAAACAAATATAGTTGGATTTGTGAACAAAATAAAGAATCTAGTCCTCGTGGAGCTTATATTTTAGCAAGGGGAGACAGATAATAAATATAATAGGTTACACAGTTTACTGGAGGGTGACAAGAGTTATGGCAAAAAGCAAAAGGAGCACAGAGCAAAGGGGGTGAGTGTGCCAGTAGGTGGTGGGAATGCTGGGTGCAGAATTTAGTAGAATGGTCAAGTTAATCTGAAATCGAATAGTTATTTCTTTTTCAAAAATTCACATAATAAATGTGAAATTCAAAATCTAAGATGTAAAGCTATGAACAAACACTGTAAGGATATCTACTGCAGGAAGTCCCAGATGTTTACCTTCCTGACTGCAATAGGGTTGGCCCTGATGAAAGTGCTGCCTTGCCGAGCCCTGTGCTGGGTGCACTGTGCGCCTTTGCCCAGAAGGGGGCCTCGGCGTTCCACCAGAAGCACAGCTACAGCTCCTTCTCAGACGCATTTCTTTAGTGGATTCATTTCCTTGATGCAAAGCATCTGTATTTGTTGGTGCTGCCATTTGAGCGATGTCTCTGACTTGTTTGTTTTAAATTACATTACGGGCTGGAATGTAATTGTGGTGAAAGTATTTTTATATTGCTGAGAGTAGCAGCTAATCACAGTTACATGCTTCAGAGGATTTATAATTGCTTGGTTTTGTGTGTGTGTGTGTGTGTGTGTGTGTTTAACTGCATTTGAGAAGTTTTATGGAGAAGAATATGCAAGATTTAAAAATCTTACAATAATGTTACATGCACCTTCTCTTCAGTTTCATCGACTTTAAAAATTATCTTCTCATTAAATTTTAGTGCTTTGACTGGTTTGTTCCTTTTTGCAGTTGGTTGTAATTCATTTGTGGCTTCTTATGCTTTCCTGCAAACAGATTTCATTTCATTTATTGTCTTTGTATCATTTTCTTGGGTAATATTTGTAGGACAGACAACCTGGAATCTTTCCTTTGCAGAATACCACCCAGTAAATCTGGCTCAGCATCTTATATCAGTAGGTTCTTGGTAAACATGTTAAATAAAATTATTGATGGAAATTTGGGGGAAAATGAATAATAAGACTAGGATAAAAAGTCAACGCCAAAAATGGTATATGGGTATTTTAGCTTAGAGATGGTCACTACTAAAAGAATCAAGAAAATAATAAAATAATAAACAAGGAAGGATAGAAAAGACTTAGCAGTGTACACATGTTTCATCTTTGCTGTGTTTTGGAGAATGGATAAGTAGTATTTCCTGATTCCTAAGCATGGCTGAACAATTTAATTTTGTGTTACCACCTTTTTGGTTCTCTCTCCAGTGAATGACTTTTAGAAAAGCCTGTCCTAAATTTTTAGATTTAGGCAGTTTTCTCATTGCTTTGTGGGGACGTCAGTTAGGTGGCACATCGCATACTGGCGGTCTGTACCTCCAGTGCTGATGCAGGTCCACTGTGGGTGTCATGGACATTAATTCTATGGAATTCTGACAGCAGTTTTAAAGTGGTGGTGAGGGATTATGGATATATGATGAGGCGATCTGGCTTTCTGAGAACCATATTCTCCAGCTACTTAGAGACATAGCTCAAAATATTAAATTTTCCCAGTTCAAAAGCTTGAATTCAATTGATTGATCCTGATAGTGCCTGTCCCAGAGACCAGCTAAGAGACTTGTTTTGTGTGTGAAGTCATTCCAGAAGTTGTGGAATACAAAAAGGTTTTAGAATTACTGCCGTGTTTAGAGAAGTTAGGGGGAAGTGATTACATCTGAGCTGCTAAAGTTAACCAATGTTTGCTGGTCTTTGCAACAAACTGCTGAGAATGGGTGGTATGTAATGCTTTGGCAGGCTTCAATCACTGATAAAAGATCGTGTTAAAATATCTTTTGTGCTTTCTTGTTACTTGGCACAAGCATCTCTTCCTGTGTTGTATTTGGAATATCATGGAGAGAAAATAAATAGCCAAGAACTCCAATGTAGGCAAGAACTGTTAATTTTTCTTTAAACTTTTATTTGGAAAATTATATACATTATATATCATGGCCTTTTACCCTGAAATGCTTTAGTATTTCTTAAGTATAGGATATTCTCCTAAATAATGACAGTACAGTTATTTACATCAATAAATTTAACATGGGTATACTTTTGTCTAATGTACCATTTGCATTCCAATTTTTTCAGCTGGACCAATAATATCCTTTAGAGAATTTTCCCCACTACCCTACAGTACCAGATCTGTTCTAGTCTCAGGTGTTGCATTTCATTGTCTTGTATCTTTAGTTTTTTTGAATCTAGAATATTTCCACAGACTTTCTTTGTATTTTAAGACATTGACATTTTTTAAAATAACACAGTTGTTCTGCACCCCCCCTTTTTCCTCTTGTTTTTTTTCAAATAGCAGAATGGCTCTCATTTTGAATTTATTTGGTGTTTTCTCATTATTAGATTCCGGCTATGCATTCTGAGTGTCGTTATATTCCTCTCCGGGTATAACATCTGGAGGCACACGAAGGCCATCTGTCCCCCCTGGTGATGTTAATTTTGGTCATCTGGTCAAGGTGTTGTCCTATTTCTTCACTATATAATTACTTTTTGTTGTCTGCTGCAATGAATAAGCAGTCTGTTGAAAGAGGAGATACTACACTTTTAAAAGAAAATGTATTTGACACTGATAGAAGGGAGGAAACCTAATGATATAAATTTCAAAGCAGCTGTTAAATTATTTGATTGCATTCCTCCTCTTTTACTATGTCTGCCAAAATTTACAAAATTCTTTTTCTATCAAGAATATTTTAAGTAGTGATATCTTAATAAAAATTAGAAGGAAGCCTCAGAAATAAGTTCTTTCTGATTTCCTCCTCAGCAAAAGTAATAATTATGTATATTTCATTATGTTCAATAAGATAGGGTTTTGGGAAAATGGGTCTAAGATGCTTTTGACATTGCAGGTGGCCTGTGGTGATCCACTGGGATATAGAGCTCTAGGTAGGTAGTCATTTGGCCATAAAATTTGAGTTCTCTTGGGTTTCCATAGAGACATGTAGACTTAAAATGTTTTAAGCACTGTTACTTTCAAAATGAGTGTCAGTAAAAATAGCAGAGCCAAGGCTCTTTAAAAAAATGTTTTAATTTTTTAAAAAGTAGTGTAGGTTCCCTGTTAAAAATCTGTGTTGAAGCCAAAGCTTGTCCTTCCCAGTCGTTCTGCATCAAGTGGCCTTGAATAGCCCCAGGGAAAAGAGGCATCAGGAATTGGTTTCTCTGCTTTTTGGCTAAGGAATGAGCCTACATTGACTTCATCTGCAAAGACACCTGCCAACTATTTCCTTACTTCTTAAATTGCTAATTTTGTGTAGTGAGGAAAGGAGTGAGGGGTGATAGTATTTTTATAGGTCAGACTGCTATAAGTTCTGCTGAAAGTTTGACATCTTTAGGATCTCCAAGTTTTTTCAGGTTGAGCTCATAAAAACAGGCTCATGTAATTATTTCTCACCTGATTTTTAAGAGGATACTGGGCTAAACACCACGTATCCATGACTATTAAGGAGGCTTTTTGGTGGAGTTTGACAAAGGCTCTCTCCTTGTCCGGACTTCAGTTAGGCCCTAAGCTTCTTTTTGATGAGGCCTCGACCTTAGCCCCCATTTTTGCTACACCTACATAGCCCAGTTTTAGCAAGAATCCTGCTAAGTCAATTTAGAGAGAATCACCCAACCTCAACATCTGATGCAGTTTCTCATCTCTCACCGTTGATGTGTAAGACTTTGGCCTGCCTTCAGCAAGAATCCTGTTAAGTAGGTTTCACAAGAACTCCCCTCCCCTTGATGTCTCCTCTTGGTGATTTTTCCATCTACTAACCCTTCATTCTGCTCGTTGGTTATAAACCCCCACTGTTCTTATATTTGGAGTTCAGCCCGATCTCACTCTCCTATGGTGAATTGCTATAGTCCTGAGTAAAGTCTTCCTTACCTTTTGAACAAGTGTTAGAATAATTTCTTCTTTAACAAGTGGAAGCATGAACTTGATAATCTACAGCAGGAGTCCGCCAAATATGGCCCATGGACCAAATCCAGCCCACTTGCTGCCTGTTTTTGTACAACTCATGAGGTAACGATGGTTTTTACAATTCTAAATGGTTGGAAAAAATCAAAAGAAGGATATTTAGTGACCTGTGAAAATCAGATTTCAGCGCTCATAAAGTTTTATTGGATCATAGCCACGCCCATTTGTTTCTGTACTGTCTGGCTGCTTTTGTGCTGCAGAGGCAAGAGTTGTGTAGTGGTGGCAAACCATGTGGCTCAAAAAGCCTAAAATATTTCGTGTCTGGCCCATTAAGAAAATGTTAGCTGCCCTCTGGTCTAGAGCAGGTAAAATGATGAGGTTGGATCTCCAGGGTGCTTGTTCAGATTCTGTGACTTTAGAACTGAATACTGTGGCTCATTGCAGTGAATTGCTTCAGCACCATGATTTCATTTTAGGTTGGTTTATAAATATGAAGGAGAGATCCAAGACACCAAAATATTTATTCTGGCTTAAAATATTTTATATATATATATATATTTTTTTTTTAAGAGAGTGGCAAGAAGAAAAGATAATTTACCATTTAATTTGAGTTTAGGATAAATGGTACATTTTATTTATGATCACCACATTAAAAATGTTGTCAAGTATTTATCATCTTTAAGAACAGTTACTATAGTCAAAAATCTATTGGACCCTTTTAAAACCCAGGACTTAAATAGCAACCTTCTTCCTACCATCCTCATCATTGTGCCTTCCACAATTTTCCCTGCAATAGGTTTGGTCACCCTTTGGTGCTAGAATCACATACAATGAGTTTGGAGAGAAAAACAATAAAAAATAAACACTAGGTATTTGCTTTTTTGTAACCGCACATTGAGTTCAGGACAACGCCTTAGCCTGTGTGATAGAAACATAGTGTGCCTAAATTCTCAGTTTCATGGTAAGGAGGGGAGGATCGGGGAAGGCAGGCGAGAGTGGAGGGGCACACGTGATATTAGAGTCACGGGAATGCACATGAGGTGGTGACAGGTGGGGAGGCTTGTGCCCGGTTATTGTAACAAAGATCCTCCCCTTCTTTCTGAGAAGGGGCAATTTTTCATTCTTTCGATGTGTGATGTCCGTGAGTGTGTGTGGTTTGGGTGGAGTATTGGCAGGGACAAAGGTTCTGACGCCACTGTCGCTGAGGGAAGGAGTTACACATCACCAGGCAGGATTTGAGCTTTGGGGAGCGAGTGTGTCAGTGAGTAGAACTTACTACGTACCAGGCCCTATCCATATGTTACCTTGTTAATCCTCATAATGACACCATGAGAAAGTACTGTTATTATTTCTGTTTACCATCAGGGAAACTGAGGCACAGGGAGATTAAGTAACTTGCCCAGGTTCACAGAGTTCCAAGTGATTGTGTCAGTTGGAATGGGCTAGTTATGCCAACATAACAACACACAAATCTCAGTGGCATAGAACAAAGGTTTATTTCTCATGCTTCACTTCTTGTCTGTGTCATTCCAGGCTGGGGCTTAGGCTAAAGGAAACTCCAGCACCTGGAACATCAGCCACTGTGGCCAGAAAAGAGAATGTGGTGAATGACGCTCTGTGTCTTAGAGCAGGGCTTCACAGACTTGACTGCATATGAATCTCCTGGGGAGCTTAATAAATGTATATTCTGACTCAGAAAGGCTGGGAGGGCCTGAGATGCTACCTTTCTACCAACCTTCCAGGTGACACTGGTACTGTTGGACCACAGATCACACTTTGAGTAAGGAGGACTTACTGGTTTCTGCCCAGAAGTGACACATCACATTTGCCCCCATAAGAATCAAAGCAAGTCACGTGGCCATGCCCAACTTCAAGGCAGCAGGTAAAGTAATTGTCATCTACATCAGGAGGAGAATTGGAATACTTGTGAACGGCTCCACTGAGGAGCAGACAGTGTGAAGCTAGGATTTGAATTCAGGGAGGCTGTCCCCAGAGTCTGTGCTCTTAATCATCCCTGTATACAGTCAAGGGTGTTGGTCCATTCTCTGTCAAGGAAGAGCAGCATGATGACACCTGAGCCCCAGGTAGCTAGCCAGTCAGGGCAGTTACAGTTGACTTGTGTGACCTGGCACTGGGTGACCCAGGCAGCTTGGTGTCCAAGGCAGCAGTTCTCAACATGGTGTTGCAACTCTGTGAAATCCCTCAATTCATTTTTTTAAATCTTAATAAAATGCCAACATTTATGAATTGTTATTTTTTAATTAAAAGCATACTTTGGAGTAGATTCCAGCCTTCCTCTATACCCTTTCTGATTTAACATCCTGCCGTGCTTGTTTTGTAGAAGGGGTGGGGTTGAAGTCAGCATTCAGGGAATTGTGCATGACCCTGGGAACGCTCCTGGGTGTGTGTCCACGAATGCACACCATATCTCATGTGTGTTTGCTGCAAAGTGCTGGATTTTCTGGTCTGGAAGAGTCCTAGGCTTGTAGTCAGCACGACAAACTCAACTCCCAGATGGTGGTGGTGTGCAGGTAGGAGCTGGAGCCTATACCCATAACTAGAAACTTCTGATATAGTCATAAACTAGAGTATTGTGGGAGTGAGTGATGGATCCCAGTTTCACATCAGAGTCTTTAAATAGAGAACAGGAGTGCTGAGTGAACATCACACCTCCTTAGATTAATCTTCTGATCCCTGTAGAAAGCCCTATTATGGGCCTACTGCAGCCCACTGCACCGTGGGTTCCCAGGCTGCAGTGAGGAGGAACTGTTCAGAAACATTGGATTAAGCAAGCCCTCTACCTTATGGAAAACCTGATCTGGAAATGTTACTTGGAATGAAATGAGATCATTCTTCTTCCACTTAAAAACAAATCCTCCCAAAAG